GTTATACTGTATTTAAAGGAAACATCACCAATCACACTTATTACTGATTTTTTTATCTGTATTCGGTTACATTACAAGGCAATATTTAGCGACTACGAAGTTTTTTATTTTAAGGACAAGTGTCTTATATGTTCACAGGTTTGTCACTAGACATTTTATTCTCTTAATGATTTATAATGGCAATCTGCAGTTATAAAGCTATGTAAGCACGAGATATTATAATGCTGGATTTACACATCCTCTTGGTGAATTACATGAACAAAGGAAAAAAGCATTGAGGCAGATAACAAAGCGGACAAAAAAGCATAACACAGTGTATTCTAGGTTACCGTCTTCCTCATCCTTATGCGGTTTGGCTATCGTGAAATTAAGAACAAAGGTTATAATAAGATTTCATAAAGTACCAGGACCTGAGGAGGAGTTTCATGCTAAAGTTAGTCGGTTCTCTTGGGACAATGAGGACTGGCTTTCTTTTAACTAGATTGTTTGATTCTGGCGATTTACTGTTTATTTTTTGACACAAGGAATGAACGGCTTTTAAACAGATGTCATCTGATAAACAAAAAGGTAACAGTGACATAGATTTAAACCCTCTTTGAATTACTTTTACTTTTCACCAACACCAGATATCAGTTTATGAATCTGATATTTTGAGCATTAAAACTGAAAACAAATTAGATTACTGATATCAAGGTTATAGGGTGAGTAGGTTCCTTCAATTTTTCACATAAAATACATCCTTCGTTTGAAATTTTACCTCATAGTTTGATTCTAGGAGGATTAGATGACAGATGCAAGACAGTCTCGATTACCAAGAGACACAGTGGCGCAAAAAAGGAACCAAAGTATTTTATCAATGTTTCGTAAATATGTCCTATTGTAGGGGAGTCTGATTGCTATGAATCTGATTTATGTAAAATTGTTTCATGTTAAAATAGTTCGTACCACAAGATCTCTAAAGCTGGATATGCAGCATAGGGACTACGGATATTGAGAGAAGAAAAATGTCCAGATACTAAGAAAATGCCTCACTCCTCAGGTCTCAGTACTCACGAAATTTGATACATCAAAATAATACCAAAGTAGAAATACATCAAACTAATGGTAAGAAAAAAGAATTCAATAATTCAATATACAATACAGCAAATTAAACATAGATAATATACAAAATCATAATGAAATTCCAAATTTTCACATAGGTGGAGGTAACCCTTTACTAGCCTACAAGTGATGTGTCTGCGGTGCCTGCGTGATCGAAGGAAGTATATAGTGAAAAATAGTGATCACAATACTGTGAATAACGTGAAGGAGTTATTATCTTATAACAGGAATTACTCTGCATTAATCTATACAAAATACTTACTTAAAAAATACTGGTGTGCTGGTGTGATTAGTTGATCAGTTAAGCGTATGTGCGTATGTGAACGTATGCGTTTGCATTTGCGTGTCCGCGTAACTGTGCACAGAGATGTACATGTGCATATGTGTATTTCTTTCAGTGAGAAACCGCGGTCAGCCCCAGATGCGGCTAAAATGTCACGGAAGAAGCCTCCGGAAGCCTTACCTCTGGTGAGCTTCCCTCTGGCGTTGCTGGAGGACGTGGTGGTGGTGGTGGTGGTGGTAGTGGTGACGGGCGCCTTGTCGAAGTCCTCCTGGTTCGCGTACTGGCTGATGTACTCGTGGGTGTTGAAGTAGCTGCTCACCGGGCTGTGGACGGCACCACCAACAGGTCAACACACTCCGCGCCTCCCGTGCCGGCCGGTGCTCAGGGCATGGCGACTCCGCACGCTCACACGCACGCAATCATACTCTGAGACACTTGTGCATACACGCAAGCACCGATGCAAATGCTTTCTCTCAATCTTCCACATCACGGATTATTATCGTCTCTTCTTCTCTTTCTCAATAAGTCACACACACACACACACACACACACACACACACACACACACACACACACACACACACACACACGTAAGCACACGCAAGCACTAGCACGCACACGCACACATTCACACTCACTCACTCACTCACACACACACACACACACACACACACACACACACACACACACACACACACACACACACACACACACACACACACACACACACACACACCACACACACACACACACACATTTGATAAAAAAAAATAACGAGAGCGAATCGGACACACGGAGGATTTCTTCCAAGACAACTAACGCACAGGATATTATTCAAATGTATAAAAATTAATGAATGTATTTCATTCTAAATATTTACATATTTTATAATGTTTCGCTTCACGGAATTTTCTTTCTTTTTTTTTTGTAACACTAGCACTTTTTCTGTCATTTTTTGTCGATTTTTCATGAATTGTCAACTTTTTGAGGCGCACGGGTTGAAAGAACAATCGCGTCAGTCACGTGAAACATCATTGTACGCCTTCCTTTTCAATTTATTCTTTCTGTACCCGGCATCTCCGATATCCCAGAGGATATCCCAGAGGCAATACTATC